CAGAGTTCTGGCATTTGAAAACAGAGTTTTGGCATTTGAAAACAGAGTTTTGGCATTTGAAAACAGAGTTTTGGCATTTGAAAACGGAGTTCTGGCATTTGAAAACGGAGTTTTGGCATTTGAAAACAGAGTTTTGGCATTTGAAAACGGAGTTCTGGCATTTGAAAACGGAGTTCTGGCATTTGAAAAGGTAGTTCTGGCAATTGAAAAAGGAGTTTTGGCATTTGAAAAAGGAGTTTTGGCATTTGAAAACGGAGTTTTGGCATTTGAAAACGGAGTTTTGGCATTTGAAAACGGAGTTTTGGCATTTGAAAACGGAGTTTTGGCATTTGAAAACGGAGTTTTGGCATTTGAAAACGGAGTTTTAGCATTTGAAAACTGAGTTCTGGCATTTGAAAACGGAGTTTTGGCATTTGAAAACAGAGTTCTGGCATTTGAAAACGGAGTTTTGGGTTTTGAAAACGGAGTTCTGGCATTTGAAAACAGAGTTTTGGCATTTGAAAACGGAGTTCTTGCATATGAAAACGGAGTATTGGCACTTGAAAACGGAGTTCTGCCATTTGAAAACGGAATTCGGGTATTTGAAAAGGGAGTTCTTGCATGATGGCCGTAAGATTATGCTGTACCGATAAACTAAATCCAAAATTTGGACACTGGATTTGGGCATACAATTTACACATTTAAAACACTAACCATCATATCTGGTGTTTTACTCTTTTCGTCCTCTTTCTTGGCATCGGAATAGAACTCAAAATGAACATTGCTCGCACTCTCTGGAAATTGCTGTCAAATGAAATAAATTTATATTTTACCAAAACCTCATTATTTTATTAACAGTAAAGAAATAAAGATAAAAAAATGAAAAGAAAGATATTCTCTAACATCTGCAGGTAGATCTTTTGAACAATGAGCCAAACCAAAGCCATTGGCATCACCTCCCCAGCTCTAAGGAAAATGCAAATTAACACTCATGATCTCATACTACATTCGCAATTATTCAGTGTTTTAAAGCATGTTGCTCTCTTTCCCTCTCACATACCTCAGCCAGACAATTTAACCTTTGGTGAAGTGTTTTTCTTTGTTCAACAGGAAGTCGAGAAATGAAGTTTGACCTTTTGCTAAGAAATAATAAATTTGTCAGAAAGCATAAAATTGGCAATGTCATGAAATTGACCATTTGCGTAATAGACTAAATTTTGATTTAGACAAATATTTCATCACAGCTTGAAAGAGCATCACAAAATTAGTAATATTCCAAAGTTTCGTTGCGAAATGTTGTAAAATGCGGATAATATAGCCTTGCGAAGTTTGCAATTTTCAGTCATTTTAGCATTACGAGGGGGAAATTGACAGC